GAAATGTAAAATGTAAATAGAGAGAGAAAATATATAGAGACTGATGTTGTTTGTATGTGTCAGTAATGTATAGATTCTATTCTATGTATTTGTCGGATTTTAAGGAGATGGTTTTCATAATTTGCAAAATCTTATGTTAATCTCTTCTTTTGTCATCTACTAGTTTCTTAGACATATGAAGTGTGAACTATTAATCAATATTGGTTTGGAAACTAAATCCATAAATTAAGATATTTATATTAAATGAAAAAAATTTGTTAGAACAACTCCAACCATAACACGAAATTTAGTGTTGAAATAGCAGCAAATTTAATATTATGGTGTATTTCATTTCCAACCACAACACCAAATATTACTTTGAAAAAAATATATTTTATTATTATATTATTTAATTTAATTTTTAAAAATCTTTTTACTAGTTAAATAAATATTAATTATTCTTATAACTAAAGACATTAAATATAAAATTACATTCAATAAATTAAAATTAGTGAAAAATAAATTTTCAGCTGTAGATTGAGCTTTAGTATATTTTTAGTGTTGGTCAATTTGCATATTGATTTAGACATTTTGTGTCGATTTAAATTTCATATTATTAGAAAAAATTTAAACAATTTTTGATAGATTTATTTTTTACAAATTTAATCATGTTATTGAATAAAATAATATTTTATTTGGTGTAACACTGTTCATAAAACACTAAATACTTGGTATTTTGGAATTCCATTGAAGAAGTTTTAACATCAAATTTGATGTTTTACAGTTCCATTGGAGTTGCTCTCAAGCATTAGATTTATAAAGTTGTTGATAATCCTAGGGTCATGCTCAACTCCTAACTAAACAAATAGCGTTTTCCCTTTTATTTTAATTAATTAGCAAACTCAAATATTTACACTTCCTACTTTGCAAAGATGTTGATGTAAGAAACAAGAGACTATTACAGTATATAAATGAGATCACCAATTGTCTCTATTTAGGAAAAATAAATAGTTGATGTATTGTCTTTATTTAGTAAAATAACAGTTCAAATTTTGTTTTGAACAATTATAATAGTTCAAAGGACTGTACCCATTTTATACGCAATGAGAAAACTTACTGTAATCCGTAGATATTTTCTTTTCCGAAAATTCAATTTACATTTGGAAAAAGATAATATACATATAGATAATGCAATTTGTGACAAAAAAAAACATATAGATAATGCAATGCTATTAAAAATTAGATGCAGCATGCAAAATCCAAGTCACACATGGATGTTGTTTGTTTAGTCGTATTTGTTTTTTAATCGGTTTGTTAGTCCTATATGAGTTGCAGACCATACCTATTTACATAATTCATATCCTCCAAAAACTAAATAGCAGTTTTTGGATTTTTTCGGATCATTCATTTTGCACAAACTTCAAGTCTTCATATCTTAAGATTAAATATTGATGGCAACTCTTGATCTATTTTAGTTTAGTATGAAAACAATAATTGGAGGACCATAGTTCGAAATCTCAAATATATTATAGTCATTATATAAAAACCACCACACAAAATATATTTAAACTGTTTAACCTTTTGAAGTTAACTATTTTGTTGGACCCTTTTTTGCTTTATAAATGAACTGTTTTGGTTAGAAAAGGTTATTTTAATTAGGGGCTATGATTATTGTCTACCTAAATATGAAAAATGGTCGTTAGTTCGAATTTTGATCACAGCCAGGAAATTGACAATTTGACATTGAAAAATGCCATTAAATAAGAGAGGCGACGTAGAAATCGGACTCCCCTCTCCATATATATTTTGTATTAACAATAATTCGATAGAATATTACCTACAGAAAATACAAAAAAATATGACTTCTTCATGTTTTTTTTTTTCCAATTCAAAAATCTTCGGCTTTTAAAAAGAAACTAAAACAGATAATATGATGCGTATCTCACAGAATCAAATGTTAATGGGTTATAAAACAACAAAAAAAAAATCAAATATTTCCTTCGTATTTAAAATATTAATAGTGAAATTCTTGAAACTATATTATTGTTCGTAAACAGTCATGCAGATATTAAACATGATTTAAGATAAGTTAGGATTCGGGTGCTGATTTGGTGTCCAATAATTGATTAATCGGTGGCACATAATTAAACATGTATTACCAATAGTTTATCTTCGTTGTATTTTAATGATACGTGCATCAACCATTTATAAATTAGTATTATGTTGATGCATTGAATCTTTCCTATGTTTAGTATGAGCAAACATGGTAAAACGGAATTCGATTTTCTATCGAACAAAAAAAGGTGGCCGATAATTTTATCTCAAAAACGCATAAATAATGATAGTGTAGTGTGTTCACGAGCACTTACCTAATTAAAGACATCAATTATTTGATCTAATCCTTATGAACTAGATTATTGAAAATAAGATTAGGATGGATGTGTTGATGTCATGTCTAATAATTGCCTCAAAAGAGGTATACAAAATTATATTGTAAATACCATGAGTTTTCTCTTTGCCATACTTAAAGCCGTGAAATATAATTTAAATCGTGAAAACAGCTATGAGAAGTTCTGGGATGAGTTTTCCCAGTTTAGTTGTTGGGATAATTTAGTTTTATTAGACTAAGTTTTAGTACTTAAAAAAATTAGGTTGGTGTTTGGATCCATCAACACAAATAGCATTACCACTTCTGCAATATCTATGAGTACGGGTGTTTGACAACACCTTCCACAAAAGATTGAAAAACATCTAGGGTGTGATTGTTAGGCATTAATAGAGTAATAAAGTTGGAGTAATATGGAGTAAATCCTCCATATTACTCCATTTATGTAGTAATAAAGTTAGGCATCTCATTTATGTAGAGGGAGATTTTTCGCTGGAAAAAAAAAATTTATTTGATAACAATAACATTTTTACTCTAATATGGTGGGACCCAATTTTCCACTAGATTACTCCAAAAACATACCGATCACAGTCGTAGTGAATTTCGTTGACAAAAAAAAAAGAGAAGAAACTTTAACTAACTAGCGAATATACTATTTAGAATTTGAAAGAATAAGCAAAACACAATAAAGAGCTTATTGAAGAAGAAAGTATTTTTTATTGATTCATTTCTGTTTAGCGATTACAATGTCTCTAAGCTACTCTTTATACTGAGATTGAGCTAGGGTTTTACATAGATAAACCTTCTAGATCTTCCGCCATATGTCAAGCATCCATTGCTCCTTCAGATAACGATGACAGAAGGGCAAATTGTTGGCTAATTTGACTTGACTGGTCGTACTCGTAGATGCTCTCCCTCCTTGCTCCGCAATTTTAGCTTTGTCGTTATCTGATGAAGGAGATAGCCGTTGCCCCTTGATATGATCCTTATCTTTGAATTCTTCAGTGGGTTTTGTCTTCATGTGGCCCATCTGTATAATTTTCGCAGGCCCAATACTGATGTCTTGAGAACACTCTGTTTGGTTTGGAGACTTTAGTCTAACACCC